TGGAAAAAGTAATGTGAAACAAATAGGAAAACTGCCGAATGGGATATGCAATACTCTCCAGAGAATTTATACTGAAAAATTGTAGTCATGTTGAAGTTTGATAAATGCATATACCAAAATTAAGTAAATAATGGAAAAACAAACGTATTTAATGTAGTTAAAAATAATATATATTTGGCTGATGGAAACTTTAAACTTGCTTGTATTTTGTGTGGAGTACATGTATGAATGCGTTAAATACTGTGGTAAAAAAAAACAATTGCTCTCCTTTGATCCAAGTACAGAAATCATTAACTTGATGACGGACGTTCATTTCTCCACGAGTCCCGCCCACTATAGAGTTGTTTCAGTTAATAATTATAATCTATTATACTATGAAAAAATATATTGTATATACATACTGTGTAATATCAGTGTAATTACTGTAATACTTTATACAATGTTAAGCGTATTGAATAAAAGCAATTACTGGCAGTTGTTTAGTTTCATTTCGAAGGTATTAATAATTTTCAACGTAATTTTCTGTTGTGTGTACGCCGAGTGAATGAACCTCTACGAGTCCGCCGAGACGACTTGTGTGGTAATAATTGAAGTTTGGTGTTTTCGAGAAAGCTTAAGTTAAGTAAAAAATAATGTACTCGCCACGTTGAATAGCGCAACTTTGAATTCACATACAACAACAATATTATTATGTATTGCATAAAGTTCATGCGGTCCATGTGTGATATTTATGTGTGTGTATGTGCGAAGCCCTACACCGTGACGGCGGCAATGAACCTTTTAAATCACCGTACGCCACCAAAAGCGGTAGCCGGCTGTAGTCTCAGCTATTGCTCAGCGTTCATCCGGTTTTACATGCAAAAGTTTTCACTTGCTGCCGAAGAAAATAATTAACGTGTACACACACACACACAGACACGAGTCTGATGAAATTCGGGGTGGTTAAAAAGCGATTCCAGAAGACATTACACGCCGTACGCTCGCCGGCCGTGACTGCAATAGAGAGACAACACAATGGAGATGTATAATTATACAAACAACCGTGATGTAGTACATAGGGACACACCGGTTCATCCTGCGGCGTTAGGCAACGTATGTATGTGGAGGGTATATATTATGTTTCAACGAGCTTTTATCTTGCGACGGAGGGTTAAGCGAAAGTTTGAACTTTTGAAAATTCCAAACTTTAACAGATTATCCCGGTTTTGTCTATATTAAATTGGACACGCTAAAAGCTACTGTTGGCCGACATGTCAACACACACGCACGTTACACGCTAATCGAGTTTTTCCAAAGGTTTTTTTTTTACCCCATATTTTTTTACACGGTCACGTCTCCGTGTAAAATCATTCAGCCGACTACTCGAATAACCTTAAAAAAAAAACTTCAATTTTTCCTACAATAATATAGTTCCTCCAAGTACATAGTAAAACACTGATGTTTTCGGGAAATAATGCTGTTTTTTTTTTTTGTAGCTTTTCTATTTGAAAATATTTGTATTTAAATGGTTAATAATTCTATACAGTAGGTCATATAAAATAACCAAATATTTATCTTTTTAACCTATTTTCAACAGCTGTTTCAATACATGGTAACATTTGCACTGCTGCAAATGTAAATATAACATATATACGTATTTAGCATTTTAACTGAGGAATAACTTACAACAAAAATTGACTGATCATTAACCGGTTTTAAAGAAGTTAATTGAATTAGATCTATTAGCGTTTGTAATTTAGACCAGAGAGCAGTATAATTTTTATCTGCAAGCACCACTCAAAATTATTTTAAAAACATTAAAACCGGTAAATATTAACAAATGATCTAATATTGTATAATAATATTATAATAAATTAAAATGCTCTTAAAATTGTTTTAACTTTAATCTGTTAGTTTCAGTTAATTTATGAGCACCTTCGTTCAATTATCAGCAAGTATTAAAATGAAAACAATACAAGCACTTTTTTTTGTAATTGAACTTTTAAAAAATAAAGACGTTGAGGGTTGTAGAAAGAACAAAGAGATGATGATGGATAGCGGTTTTTGGAGAGAACCAATTTAAATGGCCGACCCTATTTGTATGGGACGAGACGAAAAAGAAGAATTGAGTATTCAAAAAGGGTAAATCCAATTTTTGTAAATTAAATCATTTTATGGATTAGATGGTTAGATTTGAAGTTTTATTTATAACTTGCCGTTTAAAATCCGTTGAATTGAATTTTACCCAATTTTGATTAAATGTATAATACAATGTAGGATTTATGTTTAAATTAAAAATTTTTATTTGCGTTATTTTTCTATGCATATTAAATTATGATTTGACCAAACATTAAAATTATAAATTTATTTGTTCAATTTTTATGTTACCAGAAAATTAAATTTAAAAAAAAAATTTGAAATTGACAAGACACATAAATTTGATAGATAGCGATTATCAAGAAAATGCATTTCTTTTTATAGAAAAATGTTTTATTAACTATTTTGTTATTCTTAAGATTTTTATATGTCTTAAACAGCTGATCATATCAAAAATTGGATACATTTTTTTAATCGTACAACAAAATAATGTACTATTAATTAATTTCATTTGGTCATATTTACATAAAATCATACTGCCACCTTCCTGTCATAGTTTAAGTAATTAAAACGCTCTTTACACGTTTTAAAAATTGTTCGTTTTATGCAGATATAAAAAAATTTCATTTTTTTGCATATTTTATGAAACATTTTTGAGATGTCAACAATACAAAGTAAATTGTGTAATTAAACTCTTTCTACATTTTTTTTAAACTCTTTGAACATTGTTAATTTATACCCCGCTTGAAAAGCTAAAAACGAATACACCAGTGAAAAAAAGGGCCGAGGTCATAAAAAGTCTGAATTGTTATGAAAAATTCAAAAGTTAATAATAATAATGTAAAGGCCCATTTTATATTATTTTGTGCAATTCAACGGGGAAAAAAATCAACAACTTGTTTTATAAATTGCTGTTACCATTTTGATATTAACAAAATTTAAAGTCTCTCCAAATAGGTTTGATTTTTAAAAGTTTTTTTTTCCACGTTACGGTAATAATTTAACAATATAAAAATTTAAAAAGAAGAGATAAATAGAAAATATTACAGTTCATTTTATTTTGTTGCTTGAGGAAAACAACACTGCCGTACGTTAGAATAAAGTCAAGTATACATATTTTTATTAGCAGTAAAATTTATTTTATTTCACCTGTTTATAAATTCCAACAATAGCAGCAGTAGTTATAACTTAAATGACTATTTGAAAAATAAATATTAAGACATATTGTACATCGTAAAACTAAATTTTACTGACCGCTATTGAACGTGATAATGTTTTGTTGATAACCAATTTTCTGATAATAGATATTCTAAGTAAAAGAGCTCTTAGTTTAACATATTTTTCTCCGATAAAACACCTTATCTAATATAACCAACGAATTTTTTGTTGTGAAATAAATGAAAAAAGTGAATACAGAAAACTCTACTCTATTCTATTACTATAACTTATAGTAATATCATAAACAGTTTAACAACTCAAGCTAATTATTGTAACTGAAGATGAAAGACGATCGATTTTTTCTCAGAATGCAAGTGAAATTAAAGAATAATAATTGGTAGTTGTGTTAACATCTTCTCAGTTTTTTTTAAAAAATGTCCGTTGTTACCTTCCATTACTATATCAATGATCAAAAATTATTTAACAGCACCGCCCGTATAAGTTTAATAATCCAATAATAAATGATTAAATAAAATATTATTTATTTGGATAAAAAAAATGTTCGAATAATGCCAAACTCATACTATATACCTCGGGATAGAGGTATATAGTATGAATTCGAGAAAACCTGTTAATTAATTTGCGAGAATATGTCATAATGACTTCTAAAGACAATAACCAAACTAATAGTTGAAAGAAAAACGCTTTAGGCCGACTTTGTGGTGCGCCCTATGGTGTACAAAAGAAAACTACAAACAATTCGTAGAAATCTGAATAATTCAGAATCCAATTACTCTAGCCGAGTGAAATTTTCTCATTTAATTTACGTCTAATGTAAATAAGCGTTCCACCGACAATTCTCCGGAATCTGGAATATTATAAATTAATTGCACTTGACACGAACACATTAAATTTAAACAAAATATATTTTAGCACATTTATGCTAGAACCTTAAGCGCGGTGGCTTACGCGAAAAAGTTGACAAGATGTCAGTTATGTTTATAATATCACAGCCTATTTAGCCGTTTATTATATTTTGGTACAGTTAGGGTGCTGAGAACATTGCTATTTGACACTTCCAAAGAATGAGCATGCGTCACTTTTGTATACGGATTTACTTGAAAAAAAAAACAAACAAAATTGTTTACAAGAAACCATTCTATGTCATATAATATCGTTTGTGATGCGCAAAGCGAAAAAGGACATCTTGTCAGAATTTTCCAAAACCGAGTTAGTGCTATTTCCAGAATTTTGATTGAACTCTTAACAATAATTTAAGACCCGGTACATCTTTGTACCTAAAAAAAAAACTGTAAATGAAAAAATGTTATAGCACTTTGAAGTTTGTAAATAGGAATATTCTGGCATTTTACTCCGAATCGACTAGGCCGACAAGTGGTCCTTTTTCGCTTTCCTCATCACACGCGGTATAATATATACAGTATGTAATGCTTGAAAACGTTTAAACCACCAATCATACATTACATCACAAACAACGTTAACATTAAAGCGATATGTTGGCAGCAGAAGTATAATTCAACCACCTTGACGATATTTTATTTTGATTTAGATAGGTTGAGTATATATGTGTTCACATCCATATGTGGAGGGTTTACGTACGGAGGGGGGGGGGTGAGGTATGGAGAAGAAGCCATTCGGATCTCTAAATTTTTCGATTAACTTATGGGCCCACTCTAATTTGAAAAGCCTTAGGTTCGCCTGACGTGCCGAGTAGTTTTCTTATCCGTATAGGCATTGTCGCTAACCTGTTTTGTCGACGGAGCACGTCAGCACGGTGATGGCCAGCAGCACGGACCGGAACACGGCTCGAGGAGGATCCTTGGCGGACACCATCGACATTTTGTGGAAAGGCAATAACCGTTTTTTATCAATTCACTAGCAGGCGCCCAAATAATAATTATCCATCATCGCTATCATGGCGGTATTCACGCTGTCCACGCCGCGTTCGGCATTTGCCCGGCCGGCAGTCGGGTAAAACAATATGATCGTTTGGTTTCCACGACCGGTCCGAATGAGATTTTCTTTGTAATTTTTCACTACAGAATCTACGCGAAAATCGAATAAGGGTTGATGAGGGTGAGCGTGGGGAACGAACGACCGAAATCGAATTCAAATTCGGTACAATTCGGACGGGCGACCCGCGATGACACACGCCAAGCACACGCGAGACCGACCGGCAGAGAAGGGGCGGCGACGTCGACGGAGAGGCGATCTGTCGGGCGAACGCGAGGGAACTGCCGCGGCGACGACGCTGCCGGCTTTTCGGTGTACTGGCCCGCCACTATCGCCAACGCCGACATCGACACCGGCGCCGATTCCAAAAAAAAAAATAACTTTGGCACCTCCTCCCCGTTTTTTCGAAACGCCGCGCCGTCCCGGTCTCACTCGACACAACATCGAACCGGATCGTCGCCGGACCGGCATAAAAATTTGACCAATTGCTCTCCAAAAACGTTTTGTAGAACTCGAAAAAGCCAGCAAAGTATACAGTTGGCGGCAAACCCTCATTTAGAATCAACGAAAAAATTTTAAAAAAAGTCCCGTCTACAAATAATCGAAATTTGGGTGATTTTTGGATAGGGACATGCTTTATAAATGGTCTATAAAAAATGTCTACTAGATCCGACTGCATTTCCGCCAAGTTATCGTATGGAAAAGGTACCGACAAATTTTTTTCCGGTTTTCCCTGTTTTGTGGATGGAGGAATTGAATTTTTCAAATTTAATCCACCAAAGTACCAATAGCCAACGATTTCGGATTTATAACATACTCGTGTAAATCAGTCAGGAGGAAAAAGTTATGGTGTTTAGAGACCCAAAATAAAACACACATCATTGTAAAACCAATACCTTCTCAGCTCCGATCAGCACAATAAGTAAATATCAGTCGATAATTGAAAATGTCAGTTGGTAATTAGTTTTTTCTTCCAAGTTTATGTAATAATTATTAGCAAAATGTTGTTTTTTTGGGAATTTATTTAAGAAAACATAAAATATCTAGGATATTACACCAACTCCCTATAGAGGACAGGGGATCGTGCTCTTCTGATTTCGTCAATAAGTGACATAATCGCAAACAGCTGAACAAAAAACCGATGTCAATAAGATTAAGGTCCCGACGGTTCAAGAATTGAAAATCAAATTTGCATATTATAATTTTAATCCTTACCACGTGACACGTGGCTAAATCAATTCGGTATACGGTCGTTTCTAATGGACACACTTAATATCAAGGTTTTGTGTTATACCCCCCGTAGGAATGTGAACTGGAATTAAGTTATGACTATTTTAGCAGGTCACACACGTGTGACCTTTACAATTAAAGCAATATCAACCGAGCTTATGCGTAGAGCATACTGTATGTATACAATCCCGTGTAAGAAGGTACCATGCAAGAGTTATGTTCGTTTTGCGCAGCTGAGTTAATTATGTATAGAATATAGTTTAACAAAGCTAAAATAATTATAATGCTATACTACACTTAAGAGTTAAGTGAAACTTGTGAGAACGGTCATTAACATTTGACGAGTAATTGGATAAATTAATTAAAGAATAAAGTTATTAGGGAAAAGGGATATAATCTGGTTTTGGTTAAGTGGTTGGCTGATTATGTGGTATGTTGAGGTTTTACGGTGGTTACTTGATGGCTCTGTTCTTGTCAATAAAATGTTTTTAGTCCTAATTTATCCTATTACTGGGTATGGTTAAAATAAACAATTCCCACGTGCCTTTTATTGATCTAGCGACGATATTAAAGTAGTAGTTTCTCTTTGGCCAAGTTAATTTACTAAATTAGATTTTATAGAAATACACTAGTATTATATCAGTCGTTCATTCGAGGCACTGGACAAAATAATTGTGAAATTACAATTTATATAAATTTATATATGAGTGTAAGTGTATTATTCTGTGCATACCGTTTTATAAAATACTCGTGATGAGTAAATTCGGTATTTATATCTATAGATGTCTGACATGAACGTTTAATATCGATAACAGCTCTCTTGCTTACTTTTTGAAAATTACAATTACTACTGAATTCCGTTTTAATGGTTTTTCTTTCACAGTTTCGGTTAAAATAAAAAATGATATACTGGAAAAACATTATGGTCTATAATTTCTATTTTAACTTTTTTGACATCATTACACTGTCGAAACGTATTTTCAATTGTTTATCATTTTAGACGACTATTTACTTGAATGTAGACAAAGTAGAAAAACCGCCAGCACTTATTTTCACACTATTTGTTCTTTATGGAGTACATTCAATTATGGATATCTCTATTTGAAACTTTCGGACGAAAAATAAACTACATAGAATGAAATGTGTTTCTAAGAATATTACAATGGTTCGGAGAACTTTCAGTACAACCCATTTGTACTACACTCGAATACGAAATTATCACATATTCTAGATTGGCTTTTTTGAGGAGCCAAACAACATTACAGTTTGTTCTCCGAACTACTTTAATTAATTTTCTCTTGTAATCGTTTATGAAACCGCTACTTACGTTAATATGTTTAATTATATTATTATTTGATTTTAGCCAACTGAAATTGTTTTATTTTAATTTCAATCAAAAATAAAACATAGCTTATTTTAGCGTTACTTACATTGAGCATTTTATAATTTTTTTTAAATATAAAAATTTTGAAACGATAGCCTGCAGCGCAATCTCGATTCTAAGTTTTAATAATATACTAGTTTTAAATTCTTCTCAAACATATTGACTTATGTGATTCAAACATCTACTCTTTTTTTGAAACATGCATTAAAAAATATGTATTATAATAATAATCTTTAAAAAATAAAGATTTAAAAACGAAGTTGAAATGCGTTTATTACAATTTAGTTTTTATGAAAATGAACTCTTTTCTAGTTTGTATAGCAGTTTTGTTCTATTGTGTGTATTTCTTATAGTAAGGCAGAATTCATTAGGACATAACAAAAATGCTAAAAATTCTGATTTATATATAATGCCAACTAAGTAAATTATACACCCCTCCACGTTATCCTATTTTACAAACCCTTCAGTAGGTACACCATTGAGCATAGTCCAATATAATTCAAACATCTTGCTTTTGCATTGTAAGAGTATTTAAAAGGATTATACGAGTATAAGCATTTTTCCAAGGATAATAATATGTTTTAAAACTCAATCAGAAAATTTGCAGTGGTCCTTGATTTATAATTTTGCAAGTTATTTCACATCCACCTTTTAGTTTGTACGTATAAACTTTAAGTATGAAAATAACACACGCGAGTTTGAAGGATACGACTCAATTGAAATTCTATCCGGCTTGATGTACACAATTGAGTTTCGTGTATACTTTTGTCGTACACGTTTGTCATAAACTTTTGGTATCACTTACATTAAGAATTTGTGATCATATTGTTGAGCAGATGATTTTAATTTGGATATCTTATTCGCAGCGGCTTTATATAAGAACAAGACAAACTAGATATAAACTACATTGGCGTTTTTTGCCCGTGCGACTTTCAGTTTCAATGAGTAACAATATAAAAGACATTTGTTTGTACAGGACAAATAGTTAAAATTAAAAAAAATTATTTTAAAAAATCCTGTAAATTAAATTTAGATTTTTTTGTTTTTAAATTATTGATTAATTAAGGCGTACATTTACCAACAGCTCTACTTTCATGTTGTTTGACACTGGTATAATGTTACACGATCCAAATTGTTTGCTTTTTTTTTTTTTAATCGCCTTTATTAATAAAAAATAAAATAGATCCAAATTGTTATTGATTGAAATTATTTTCGAAAAACTGTCCTTACCTAGATTTGAATAAAAATTATAGTAATGGCATAGCTATTTGCAAACAAATTAATTACATTGTTCTGAAATGACAAGTTAAAGTTTACACAACGTTGATTTTGATGTTTTCTGAAGAATTAATTTTTCTCGAAATTCTTCAAATACTATTACGATAACATATATCTCGACAGCTTGACCGTTAAATTATTGTGTGCTTGGAAATGATTATTACTTTTATATTTAATTTTGATTTATTACCTTAGTAATACGATATATCAATCAAAATTGTGGTTTGTGTAAACGGTAGTGTTATGAGTACCAACCTAATAAATTTCAGAATCTCGAGTTAGGTATAGACTGTATTTTTTAATATCCATAACAATTGTTGATCCCTTCTATCGAAAACATCTGGCTAATACGGCTTATTTAAGAAAATCGGTGCTTTGTCTAAGTACCTACTATACACTACTCAGAAACCTTTCAAAGTTTTCCAAGAGAAGCCAACACGCGAAAACCAATTAGACACTTTGTAAGATGTCTCTTAGTATTGATTACCCGTGGCATTAGAAAGATATACATTACAAGGGGCTGTGATTAAACATTAAAAATTAAAATACGAAATATTCAATTCATTAGAAAAACAAAATAATAATAATGAGTTCTTAAAAAAGAGGCCTCGCACTAGTATTAATGAACAAAATAATATCTTTAAAAATAACGCAAAACAAAACAATTTCAATGAGTTAAAAATTAAACACGATATATTTTACAAAAAATGTGAGTTAATGGCTTTTTTTCATAGAAAAAAAAAATTGTAATTAAAAATAATACCTTGAAGCTTATACAAATTAACCGAAAAATAATTGACACGGTTGAAATTTATTAAAATCTTTTTTTTCTTAAATTGCGCCTACACAAAACAGACCGCATACAATCCCCTTAAAAGTTGGCATATAGTAATTATATTCAGATAACGTTACATCATATTATGCGGCTATTGTATAATACTTTATTATCCTCGAACTCACGCGCTTCTTGAGATTGTCAAGTTATCCTTTATAATATGATATGCTATTGTTTCGGTTAAACTCAAAAGAAAAATTGATTAGTCACCATTCCGCCATCGTGGATAACAAACAATCGACAGGCCTGGCCACGATTCTTATCATATGTTTTTATACTAAGTTATTTTTTTTTGTTTAGTATTCTCCAATAGTTTTTAATGCAATACGGAATTCTTTGCGATGGGACTATTTCAGTTGTAAGGATAAAGTCAAATGACAATATTAAATTTACTAGCAAAAAAAATCACTCATAACAAAATTTAGCAGAAAACTGGGACCGAGTTAAATTCAATTCGAATGCCCTTGTAGTCACTATTGAATAATAAAATGCTTAAAGTTCAATAAGATTATAAGCTTGACAAAAACTAAACGAAATAT